GCAAATAGGGCTTCATAGGGCTTCAGGGCTCGATTTTCAATAAATCAAATGAATGCTGCAAAATATGTAATTATTCACACCATTGCTGAAAATACATTAAACATAGATTTGAAGCACTTTCCACTACTGGTTGGAATAACCCTTCCGTAAATGAGGCAGAAATGAGGTAAATGGGTTTGACCGCTGTTTTTTGGCGTTGTCTTTTCTTGATAATCGGACCAATTAGCAGCTAATCGTACTCCTTCGTGCTCGATTAGAACACGCCTTCGAGCTCAAGGTGGTCCACATCAGTCTCAGTCCGTAGAATCCTTTCTCCTCCAGTGAACCGTCAAACATGAATTCCTTATGGAATGACGCTTTTTTGTTTTCTTCGATCTTTTCAAACGGCTTCAATGAAACAAAACATGTACCATTCATTTCATGCATAATGGGTTTTGATTTTATCAGTATGTTTTATCAACAGCAATGAACATCGCTGATTTATAGAGAGGGTTTTTATCATGTCTAATAAGCTTTACTAAAATCTGTCAGCGCAATGAAATAAGGAGACACTCCAAGAAATTGTTCCTGATGTTTGTGTGATTAAAAACCGCAAACCTGCGAGCGGAATGCTATTTGCTTGAACTTATTTTAACACATTCACGCCGATGGCCGCCCATATGGGCTGCCAACAACATGCGCTCCTGGGACGATGGCAGCCCATATGGGCTGCCAACTGATAATCGCTTGCCAGGCGCTAGGAATGGACAGATAGGTGGGCAAACCTCGTAATCGAGTGAGAAATGCTTTTAAAGGGGGAAAGTGAATAAATGCTCTCTTTTCGTAACCACTATTTGTCGTTCTGATCGAAATCCTACTGTTATATGTTTAGATAATCTTTACGCATTGGACATTGCAGAAATTATTTTGTGACATTCATGTTTTTGTTCATTTACAAAACAAAATCTGCGGTTATGTGGTGAGGCGGCGGCGCCCACAAAATCGCGTCCGTCCCACGCGACCGAAAAGTGGAAAAGGGGCGTCGTCGTGAATGTGTTAATTACTTCTACATGGATTCCTCCTACGTAAAGAATAGCTAAAGGAAAATCGTGACAACTGGCGCATCATATCACCCGAGTAGTCCGGGCATCGAACCTCGGGTCGAATTCGATTCGAAGCAACCAAGACAACATCCCTCATGATTGGCTGGTAGGTGTTAAACCCCAGTGCCATGAAACATTACCTTCTTCACGCCATCTGCAAGGCACTGCAATAGCCAAACCGCATTCATGTGGTAGTGCGCTTACGAGGCACCAAGTGAATGAGCCGGTTATAGTGCTTGAGGCTATGTCACAGGAAAGGTTGTGGGAGAGGATGTGAGCAATTTTTGTTCTCCCTACCGTTTCCTTTCTCACCTGGGTACAGTTTTGGTATCAACCCCAGGGTGAAGATCGGTCGAATATTCATCGACGCCTCGTCGAGTATTTTCATCTGTTCAGTCCCACTCAGATCTAACTGGTCGAGAGTTTCCTCGACCGCTATTCACTGTGGTGTCGCGCCATCGCGGTTTTTGAAGGCCCTGCTTAGAATGTCTCTCCGTCCCCCAAAGACATAAGCGCCACTGGTTATTCTGCCTTACCAATATACTATAATATTTCCAAGCGATCGCAATTTGATTATTCAAAACCGTCAACATAAAACATTTCTTGGGTGAAATTTTATTCAGAACTGGGATAACAAACAATCTGCCAGATTCATTGAGCATTCATACAGATCAACAGTCGTGAATAAAGTTAGAGATTAAGTTAAATCAATTCGCGTTCCTCTTCGGGGAAAATGGTCTCCAGATTGAGCACTCCAATATCGAACGTGCGTTTAGCAACAGGTCCATTAGTGATGTAGGACTTAGGGATGCGGAACTTCACCTTTCGTTTGCCAGGCTGAAATATGCACAAACGTATACTGCAGAATCTTCAAAAATTCACTGAACGATATACCTTGATTCCGTCATCGCAGTCATGGTACACTTTGAACACGGGATCAATGGTGGTGAGTTCGCGTTCTGATCCCTAAAAGAAAACACTGCTGTTTGAAAACAGTGCAAACCAGATGAAGTAAGGAGAGTCTCGGAAGGTCGAGCGACAATAGATCTTACCTTCAGAGTAAATGTGCCTTGGGCGCTTGTTTGGCCTTGATCGAGGAGGTCATCAGGATCCGGCCCTGAAATATCAAGGATAAAGGAAAGGAAGTTACAGAAAAAGCGCATGGTATTACTATGGCCAGGGCTAAATACAGCTTTCGGCATGGCTTCAGACTGGCTAGAGGTGATGCACCGACAGATGGCGCCTCTTCCCACCTGCCAGGTCCGGGAGTCGGAAGCTGGATTGGATTTTGCCCGGAGCAGCAGAGCCCTTGATTCTGACTGTGTAGCGACTGGCTTCTCAAGTCTTTGCACAGGAGAAACTGCACTCAAGATTCAAAGACACTTTTGAATGGGCGTGGGATGAGTGGCGCATCCCAATGGTCGGTGTTTCGAGCTTTATCCATTTCTGTTTTAACTTTAGGCTATGTAATCCAAACCTGCTACTCACCATCATCTTCTTCCCAGAGTTTCACCGTAACTCCAGCCGCCGGTTTAGTTCCACACAATAG